GGTGCAAACACTAGATAAGTCCTTGTGGCCATGTAAATCCATTGAAATTGGATAACAAGAAGTCCATTTGGGAAGACCTGAGTAGAGAGGTAGCTGGATCTTTGATGGCCCTACTGTAAAGGCTAGCTTGGAGAAATGGATACCAAGGTTGTAGTACCTGGTTATAGTAGCCAGACGGGCAAGAACCTTTGGGTTGGGGTCTTGGGGATACCACCAACCAGGCCACCAAAACGAACTGAAGAAAAAGAATATCGGGCTAACCTGATATACTAATGGACTGGTCATAGTTCTACACAGGCTATCTGAATTGGAAGTTTGGTAAAAAGGCTAGACAAAAGGTAAAGGTATACTAAAGTACTAGGGTTATGCTGTGAAGTAGATGTTGGGGTCTAAGTGAACTCTACAAGGGCATAGCAGTTTAATGGTTAGCCCTGATCGCAAATGTTAGTTCTGCCATAGTGATACCTAGGTCAGCTGTAAAAATAGTTACAGAAGGCTCTGGGGGATTTACCTTGAGAATAAATTAGTCCTAAGGTTGAGAATGATGATCTGGTACATCAGAGATGACCAGTAATGTTAACACAGGTTACAGGTTTAGAGAGTTTAAAGTAGAACACCCAAGCAGGGGTGTTAAATATGGCAATTGGTGGAGAACCTTCGGGTAGACTTCTTAAATAGGTAATATAGAAAAGTTATATATGTAGCCAATTGTATGCTCTCTTGTAGTGGTTCATTAAATTACAATACTGATAAGTGATTAATAAAAGTCAAAAGACCAAAGCTGTTATCTTAATACCAAAAAAAAAAAATAAATAAAATCTATAGCCTTTTAAATACTTTAAGAAAAGCAGACCAAATTAATTAGATCTGTATAAGATGAGAATAATAAATAAACAAAAAAAAATTTGTTTGCTTTTTACTAGAATTGCCAACTTTATATTAACAACCAGACTGAAATTAGTTACTTGTAACTTTTAAATTTTTAGTAATATTAAAACTAACAATGTTAAGTCCAATATTTTTAAAGAAGGCTATATTATTAAAAAAAACTTATAATATTTTTTTAAAATTTTTGTTAATTTTGTTTGTTTTGATGATCTATGGAAAAGAATTGTATAGGATATTCAAATCCTATTGGTTTCAAAAAAATGATTTTATTTAAAAATCTATTTAACTAAAATAAAATTTTTTTTTTTAAGATGACCTTTTTGGTCTTTTGATTTTTTTTTTATTAATCACTTATTAGTATTGTAATTCAATAAACTATAACAGAAGAGCATATAATTGACTACATGTATAAATTTTCTATATTACCTATTTAAGAAGTCCACTTGAAGGTTCTTTACCAATTGTTATACCTAATACCTCTGCTTGGGTATTCTATTTTAAACTTCCTGAACCTGTAATTTGTATTAATTTATTGGGTTATACTCAAATACTCAGATTATTATCTTAATTTTAGAACTAATTTATCCTTAAGATAAACCTTCTAGAACCTTCTGTATCTATTTTTATAGCTAATCTAGATATCATTATAACAAAACCAACACTTGCAATCAGGACTTAACTATTAAACTGCTATGCTTTTGTAAAATTTACTTAGATTCCAACATCTACTTTATAATATAATCCTAGTACTTTAGTATATCTTTGTCTTTTCATTTACCTTTTTACCAAACTCTTAATCCAGATAGCTTATGTAGAACTATAATCATTTTATTAATATATAAGATCAATCCAATATCTTTTTCTTCTAGTTTATTCTAATGACCTGGTTAGTAATATCTTTAAGACTTTCAATTCAGAGATTCTTGCCCATCTAGCTACTATAACTAAGTACTACAATCTTGGTATCTGTTTTTTTAGACTAACCTTTATAATAGAATCATTGAAGATCTAATTACTTTTCTATTTGAGTCTTTTCAAATGGACTTCTTGTTATCCAATTTCAATAGATTTATATATCTACAAGAACTTATCTAATGTTTGCATTACCTGATTTTGTTAGTTTGCATTTTTCTATATAACATCATAGTTATACAAATACTCTATAACCTGCCAGTTATGCTGATGTGATTACTATTACAGATATCCTAATCCAATTATTAGTAACAGTTACCATAATACAAATATTACATAAGTGATTATTCAAATTTTTGCTATCAATAGGATTTGAACACCCAACCTACCACTTGAAAAGTTGACAACCTGATCACTTTACTAGGTCACTACATCCTATTTATTATATTATTATTATCTTTATATTACTATATTATGTTATTATTATATGTTCTTATTATAATTATAACAATAATATTAAACATATAATACATAATCTATTAGTAAAACTTAATTGCTATTTATATAATATAAAAAATCTGTTACATGAAAAATGCTATAATTATCTAACATAGTTTTAATTACTTAGTTAATATTTCATTTTAATAAAGCATGCTCAAAACTAAAATAATTTATAAAACATGTTACGTATATAATATGTCTTGTTCTAATTAAATTGATATTTAAAATTATAAAAAATATTTAAAATAAATGTTTGAAATATTTCAAAAAAAGTTTAATTATATTATGACATGCCTATAGTATGACATGGCTTAAAATTTGACTAATGGCATGCCAAATTTTTTTGCTATACCACAATAAAAAAAAATGCAAAATACGAAAAACAACAGTCTAAACCTGTCTTGAAGCATTAACAAAAAATGTTAAAAAGAAAAATTTATACATAATCCTGCTCTAACCACTAACATTACATTGATTCTGACCCTAAAATGATGTGATCACGTGGATACAAGGCTTTAGCGATCCTCTAAATTAGGAAATTAGTTTATATTTATTCTTTTTACAAAAAACAATATTATTGGTCAATTTAAAAACATTGACGTGCAATTCGAAAATATCACATTAATGAAATGCGTCTACTAAATATATTTCAAAAAAATTTTATTAATTGCAAATACGGTAATAGTAACTAAATTATCATTTATACCATAATAAATTAGGCCAAGCCTGTCTTTTCCATTTCCTATTACGCAGAATTATATTAATTAAATCAAAATATTAAATAAAAATATACAAAAACATTAATAACAAATATTCCAACTTACTTCTCTCAAAGTAATACCTAGCTTTGCTGGACTCCTAGATACAACTACACCCGCGTTCTCTAAAGCTTTAATTTTATCGCTTGCGGTACCTTTTCCACCAGCTATAATAGCACCTGCGTGACCCATACGACGACCAGGTGGTGCAGTTAAACCAGCAATAAAGGATACAACTGGTTTTGGTTGGCTTCGTGTTAAATTGTGCTCCTTAAGGAATTCTGCAGCCTCCTCTTCAGCTGAGCCCCCAATTTCCCCAATCAATATAATACCTATTTAAATTTGAAATAAATATAAAATAAGGAATTATTTTTATTAACCTTGTCATTTAATATTTGATGAAATACCTTTCGTGTTTTCGTCATCCAAAAACACTTTCAAACAATCTATAAAGTTAGTGCCATTAAATGGATCTCCACCAATACCGACGCATAACGACTGCCCAAGGTTTACTTGTGTGGTTTGGCCAACTGCCTCATAAGTTAGAGTTCCGGATCGAGACACTATGCCAACTTTTCCTACTTTGTGTATATGACCAGGCATAATTCCAATTTTACAAGCACCTGGCGCGATTATACCGGGACAATTCGGTCCTATAAGACGTGTCTTATTTTGAGATTTCAATATTTTCACAACCTAAAATAATCATGAATTCAAATATAAAACTATCTTTTATTCGATAAAAGTCGGTTGTTTGACGCATACCCTAACCATATCATGCTGCGGAATGCCCTCCGTAATAGTAACTACTAGTGGAATTTCAGCTTGGATGGCTTCTATAATAGCAGAAGCAGCAAAAGGAGGAGGAACATAAATTACAGATGCATCTGGTTTTAATTCGTGAGCTGCCTAGCAAATAAATAAATGTTAGAAATAGCCCAAGGAAGTAATTTGAAACAATAATTCTTACTTCAGCTACGGTGTTAAACACAGGTAACCCTAAATGAGTTGTACCTCCTTTCTTGGGTGAAACACCTCCAACTAAGTTTGTTCCATATTCAATGGCTTGTTGTGAATGGAATGTACCCTAAAGAGAAAACGATTATATGTATTAAAGAAAAATGTAGATAGAAACGTCTGACAGTGATCGAACTTTGAGCTTACCTGTTTCCCAGTAAAACCTTGACAAATCACTCGCGTATCCTTATTAATACGCATGTTTTTGACAGTGCCTTGATAGTTGTTAGACGAGAACATTTTATGTAAATGACGAAAAATAAACCTCCCCTGTGGAATGAAGTCCCGGCGAGAGACGAAGCCATTGAGGGAATATGAAAACTCTGGAAGATGAAGCCTCTGAGACTTTAAAAATAGACGAGACTCTGAGAACGACCGAGCAAATGAATGCATTTTTCAATGTTGTAAGCTGTTAGCACAAAAAATTTTGTTTATATCTAATCATTAGAGATTTTAGATTAGATTACACCTGATCTTGAAATTTGATTTAATCGAAGCTGCAATACACCAGATAAAACACGGGCAATATCTCAAAATCCTAATAATATTAATAATATTATAAACTATCGCTATCACCTCTCAAAATAATTAATTAATGCCCGTATATATAACTATATAACATCCCATGTACAATTAGAATTTACATGAATTTAAATTAATAAACTAATTTCTAACTGTACACTTTGATTTTTATTATAAATCCAGTACTAGGGATGTTGCCAAGCCAATAGTCTAAAGCTATAGCTTAAGTCAAAAAAAATTTTTTTTTTTAACCTTAAGCAGTTACGCTAGTATTTTATTAAGATTCTTGAAACTATATATATATACAATTGCATAGATCTCTCATATTACTCGGTCACTCTAATGATATCTAAGTGCAACTTGTTGCATTATCTTAGTTAAAGATAGACTGCTTATTTAACTACTTAAAACTATACTAGAAGGGTTTTCTTTTTTCTGTGACAAGCATATTAATTGTTTTCTAAGTTTCTTTTTTCATTCAATATGTTTTTTCTATTTTTATTTCTTTTTCTTCTTCTTTTACTTGTTTATTTTTTCTTTTTTTTTTTTTGATTTTTTTCTTGTATAAATATTTTTTTTTATTCTAATCATTATATTGGTCTTCTTTTTTCAATCTTGTATCTTTTTATATTGAATTTTTCAAACTTAGTTATAGAAAATGTTTTATACTGTTCTTATTACTATATCTATATATTTCTATGTTGATTACTTGTTTAAGAATCATTTAAATCTTTTTCTTACTTTTAGCATAGTAAGTTTTTTTATTATCATTTTTCTATTTATGATTTTTTTTGTTTCTGTTTCTTTAAACAATGTCTTATATAATATTTATAAAGAGATTTTGTTTTTTTTTTTCTCTTTAAATACATTCTAAGTTATTACTATTGTTATTTTTTGAATTCATTTTTATAAATTTTTTTGTCTACTATAACTTGCTAAATATATCTGAATTTATTTTTTCTTATCTTAGTATATTTGATATTTTGTAGTTTTATATATTTCTGATTTCTTTTTGTTTAGTTTTTTAAGTATTAGTAGATTGTTTATTATGTAAAGAGAAGTCAATAGAAAAATAACAAATTTTTTTTAAATAAAAGTTTTTTTGACTTTAAACTTAAATATTTTAACAATTATTTTATTAAATTTAATAAATTTTTTTTATTTTAGTTCTATATAATTTCAATATTAAAATAAAAATATTTTTAACAGATTTGATTAAATAGTTATTGAGTTATTTAAATTTAAAAATTAAAAAAATTTTACTAAAAATGATTTGTCTCTTTTCTA